AATGACGAGAAGAGAAAAGAAACGCTACATTCGAGCATTTAGAGAGCTATCTAGGCCAAATAGGTAATATTGTACAAATAAATTAAATRAAATGGTTTATCCAGCTTTAGGAATTTTAGTCCTATTATTCGAACAATCGTGCTATTAAGGACAGACAAAATTTAATGCATCAAAAAAGACTAGAAGAATATGTATACTATTTGTATTTCTCTAGGCAAATATCAAACTTTATACATGAAGATTATTTAATACTTTTGAATTTTAATAGCACATACCATAGAGAGTTCAGTGACCTAATTGCCACTCACAAATCAAGATTCATGACAACRATTCATCAGCAAATCCATTTCCTACCATGGCACCGATGGTATCTTGGCCAGATTGAAAACCTACTCCGAAAAATTGATTGTCGCGTCACTCTGCCATACTGGGATTGGAGCGTGGTTTCAGGYGATCCTTGGATTGAAGAACTTTGGAATAATGGGACTTATACTGGKTTTGGGGGAAATGGCGTGAGGGCACTCGGTTATTGTRTRCCAAGTGGTCCATTYTCRAAAGAATTARACTGGCAACCTGCTTCATCAAATCAGCGAGGATGTGTTCAAAGATATTTTCGTGGAAACCCACCAGATATTGTCGCCGTAGAGGAACTGCTTAAGACYCCTGCAAAAAAYTTTTCTGAYTTTGAGATAGAGCTCCGTATTCTATTTCACGACCGAGTGCACTGTGTCATTGGTGGTACAATGTGTTCTCTTGACTCAGCATCAGCGCCAGAGTTTTTCTTGCATCATACCTTCATTGACAAGGTTAGGTGTACCCCTATTCTWKGTTAACGCTTCCTTATGTTTTCAGCTAATAAACACCTATTGTGAGAGTGTCAAGTCATTAAGTTAGAATTATTTACAAAATAAGAAAATCAGAAGCACTATGTTATTGACTTTTTTTATCTGTCCACTTGTAATAGCTATGGGATGACTGGCAGAAGAAGAGCCAAGAACATAAGWACGCATTCTTCTATAATTTGACAGAAGTACTTCCAGGTACCGATGGCCTGCTACCAAGAGACGTCCTTGACAATGCGAACTTACCTAAAGGTGTAAAAGTGGAGTACTTGGATATAAACGACACAGAAACGCGAAACGTGCGGAAACGTTTGAGAAGTACGTTATATATTAAACTCAATGCACGTATATAAGTGTAATGACGTGCACTCTGCCGTCCGTAAGAAGAATATTCACAATAAGAGCACATTCTAGTGGTTTATGGGTAAAAAACCGCACACGACGATATTGCTGAAGATCAGAAAAAAAGTCGTTTGAAATAGCAATCATCGAGAATGCTATTTTTTACCAATAAACCAGCCCATTACTTATTGACAACCGTTAAAATAAAGTAACAATAAAATTGCATATTTGGAAGGTAGTCGAATCAAAAAAAATAAATTTATGATATTTGTTTGCAGAACTAAGTAGTGAAGARCTTAGGGAAATTCCAAGAGCTGATTATGACGAGGATGAAGACCTTGATGAAGTTGCAATGAATCTATTCAAAGTGAAACCCTCTGAAAAGAAGAAAGCGAGAAGAAGAAGAAAAAGACTCAGACCCAAGAACAGAAGGAAACGCAGAATGATGAAAAATCGCCGTGAAAGAAAGAGAGGATTTAATTTACAAGACTTGGAAAAGATGGAAAAGCTGCACCGAAATAGGAAATTGAG